CACTAGAGTGAAAATGATGACGATTCATGTAAAAAAAATTAGTAAAAGTCCTCAAATTGCAAAGATACAGGCCATCAAAGTTATGAAATTTTAACACATTTTTCTAAATATCTTAAACACTATTTATGGTAAAGCGTTGAAATTTGGTACAGCGTAAACTAACATCACGTAAAATCATTAGGCAATTTTTGAGTTGGATCGGTACGCGGGAACAATGCTATACAGGCTGTTCATAAAGTTTGTTTGCTCAGAACTTTTTTATCCTATCATTACCCTACATTTATTTTTGCATTTTCTAATAGTAAATTTAGTTTAGAAACTTTTATCACTCTTAGAGAATATTGATAAAAACCACCGTTTCCGTATTAAATGCAAAAATGGTATGCTCCGAATTCAATAACACTAAAAAAAATAAATAAATAAATAATTTGAATTAGCAATGACAAGTGAAAATCGAACTGAGCTGTCATAACTATTATGTATGCAACATGTCCAAGTGTAGATTTAGCTAAATCACATTTTTAATTTGTTTTAGTTGGTTTAATAAAAAAATCCAAAAACAATAAATTAAAAAACAACAAAAAATAAAGAAAAAAAACGACAACACTAACAGGAATAATAAAAAAGTACATAAAATAACAAGACAAGTAATAAAAAATACTAAAGGAAATGTTCAAAAACTTAGATTTCTTTTTTTTTAGTGCTATTATTGAAATCGGAACTCAACATTTTTGCATTTAACACGAATACGGTGATTCTAATCAATATTATCTAAGAATAATAAAAGTTTCTAAACTAAATTTACTATTAGAAACTGCAAAAATAAATCTAGGGTTATGATAGAATAAAAAAGTTCTGAGCAAACAAACTTTAGGAACAGTCTGTATAGCATTGTTCCCGCGGACCGATCCAACTCATAAATTGCCTAACGATTTTACATCGCATTGATTTATACTGTACCAAATTTCAGCGCTTTACTGTAAATAATGTTTTAGATATTTGGAAAAATGTGTTAAAATTTCCTAACTTTCATGGCCTGTATCTTTGAAATTTGAAGACTTTTACTAATTTTTTTTTACATGAATCGTGATCACTTTCAGTCTAGTATATGTGGTTAAATTTGTTCCCCGAGTTACCGAAACACCTGTATACAGGGTGCTCCATTTAAAAATCTAAAGTTAGTGTCACTTCCGGCGAAACCGGAATTGAAAAAAAAATTACTTGTATGTCAAAAAGTGTCTCTTATCATGTGTATAGGTGTCCCAAATTTGAATCAATTATCTTCAAAACTAAAGGACATACGGGTGGTGTACCATGATCCTGTTACACCCGGTATAGTGTAGGTGAATAGATTAAAAATTTACACTAAATAGTGAGAAGATGGTGTTTATTAAATAGTGTAAAATCGTTACTCTATAACAGTGTATTATATGTAATCTAACTAGATGTTGTCGTGACTCTAATTAGATACATTTCTAATCTAATCAGTGTAAATTATTAAAAATTCGCTCTAATTTTACTCTATTAATTGACAAAATATCACTAAATAGTGTGTATCTTCCACTTATTAGTGTTAATTTTTAATAGGAAGTGGAGTATTTTTAGGGAAGTTTTACGTTTGTAATAAAAATCAAAATTATAAAATATTTGTTTTTATTTTTACTTGTAATATATTGTTATAACTTAAATTTAAAAAAATTAAATTCTGTTTATATACATATATAATATATAATACTTAATTCATTTTAAAGTTTCCACCGAGTCACCATCAAAACTGCATCTAATGAGTCTTCTATAAGTTTCCTATATGTATAGTTGCACCAAGTTGCACATACTTACCAATCTTCACAAGGAACTTGTATGTAAAATCTTCCGGAAGTTCCACTAATTTCACATCATGAATGTTTTATTTTGGCAAACATAATTAAAATAAAAATAATCGTTCTTTCTTTCTATATCGCGTAAATCAGGTCTCGAGACGCTATCGAGTTCCGACTCGTTTAGTAGATGACCGTTAAATTTTAGCTTGTATCACACCACATGATGATCACGTGGTACCGACGAGTAATCCCGAGCAAAATAGTGCGGTGCCTACGAAGCACGTCTAGTGTTAAATTTAATGTTTTATATGTTACATAACTTCACTAACAAAAGTAAAAAAGAACTCTCCTTTAGAGAACTGTAAAAACTATTCTATTAAGTGAATAATATATGAACTCTATATTAATATTCAATATAGTGTACAGGGTGTCCAAATTTCGATGGGTTTGCAGGGTATCTCAGTTATTATGAAAGATAGAAAGTTGCGACTTTCGCGAACCTGAGCTACTTTTTTGTGAAACTTACAATGGCGCAAACCAAATTTTCATAGCCCTCTTCGTTTTTGATATACAGGGAGTGTTTCAAAATTTACGATTTTCAGACACCTCCTGTATCTCGGCTATCCGGAAACGTAAAAACGGGTTCTAATAGATTTTTTCACGTAGAATCCAATGGTGCACGTAGAATTTTTCTAGTCATCACGGTTTTTGAGTTATAAAGAGTTAAGTATTTTAGAAGTTGAGTATTCAGTATTTGAGTTGTGTTTATAACTCAAAAACCGTGATGACTAGAAAAATTCTACGTGCACCATTGGATTCCACGTGAAAAAATCTATTAGAACCCGTTTTTACTTTTTTACTAAGTTTCCGGATAGCCGAGATACAGGAGGTGTCTGAAAATCGTAAATTTCAAACACTCCCTGTATATCAAAAACGAAGAGGGCTATGAAAATTTGGTTTGCGCCATTGTAAGTTTCACAAAAAAGTAGCTCAGGTTCGCGAAAGCCGCAACTTTCTATCTTTCATATTAACTGAGATACCCTGCAAACCCATCGATATTTGGACACCCTGTACATTAGAGTTATTTTTACCATGTGATATTACAATTTTTACTCTAATTCTTCGACTTATTTGATCTTTGCTAGGGTTGATGCTTCCTGTTCTGATTCTCCACGGCCATACTTGGTCTGTTTAATAGTAGTAGTAATCCTCCGTAGAGTATTCTCGATTCGTTTCGCCACCTTTCTCACCTTTTTTTTATCCATGCTGTTATTCGTCTTATTCTGTTACAATCGGTGTCAAACCAATCGCTTTCTTTTCGTTGAGAAATACCCAAATTGTTTCATGTAAGTTTTTTCTTTCAAATAAAGTCCTTCCCATTACCAGATCCTTTCGGGCTGAAAATTTACCACCCGCACTCCGTTTTCATTTCTTTTCTAGTGAAAGTTGTTTCCTATCTATTCGTGGTACTTTTGCTCCTTTCCTATTTTTGCGTTGAGGTCTCCAATTATGATTTTTATGTCATGGCTTTATGTTTTTTCTTCAGTGAGGGCATACACATTAATATAATATAAGAACCTTATTAGAGTGACTTTCTTGTTTGCTAGCATAGGAGAGCATCGACATATACAGTTTCATGCAATATTTCCATGCATTGGACATACTTTACTAAGTGTCCTAAGTAACGAAAAACTATCTTATTAGGAAATTATGCTCACTGTATTGGATTCCACATCTATACATATAAGAATTATTTTAAAGATTCTCTTTATTTCTATGAATAGATTATTGGAATTACTAATTGAAACGTTAAGACTTCAGAATAAGATAGATGCAATAAATGCTATTTTATCTACATCTGAATAGGAACTCTATTGTAACATTTGTAACTGAACTTTGCTAGCCATCTCAACTAACAAGGTAGAATTAACCTAGGATTAACACAAACATGTTTAGATTTAAGAGGCCATATAAATTACCTACATTATTTATTATTAATTTATGTAGAGTTATAAACTTTATATTTAAATTTTACTTCTCCCTTACGAATAAATAAAATTAATTTTAGATGTTAAAGCTTATTTATATCCTGAATGGTTCCGGATCTGTCCTATGCGTACTTATCAAACTTAACATTAAGTGTAAAAATATTTCTTATAAAAAAGATATCAACCGCAATTAAATGTGCACTCGTTTATTCTTTACCACGAATATTCCGGTGACGTAGAAAGGCCCACTTTTACCGCCTCTTGATAAATTTAACCGATAGATAAATTGGTGCTCTTAGCCAATGAGAGCGCTTAAAACCGCTGTAACCATGGTAATTATCTATCGGTTAAATTTATCAAGAGGTGGTAAAAGTGGGCCTTAGCCAATGAGAGCGCTTAAAACCGCTGTAACCATGGTAATTATCTATCGGTTAAATTTATCTAGAGGTGGTAAAAGTGGGAGTAAGTCGTGTATTTAAGAACATCAAAAACCGTTCGAAACTCACTTCTCTTTCGGAGTCCTTCACAGCTCGAGACGACCAATCATTTAGATCTTTTATTTCAACTGTGATATCATGAATTCCATCCCGATCATTCTTGTAATCTTTTTCTTAATATCGACTATACAATGTGCACCAACGGAGTCTCATAAAGAAAAGGTAATTACAAATTTTTTTTTAAATATAATAATATTTAATAATAATTTTTTTTTTATATAGATTATAAAATTTAGAAGTGCTGTAAAAATGTATTCTGATTTCTTGGAGAATCCCGAACCACCTTTGACTTTGATTTCAACAAGAACATTTTTGAATAATACAATCGATGTAGGTTTTGATTCATTAATAATCAATATTATTATAATAATGGTATAAATGTTTTAGGTGATCCCAAAAGGAGTTGTACTACGCCGTTGCCACAAAGAAATTGTATTTTCTAATAAAACTTTTGTTTGTAAAAGTATTGAAGAAAGAAAAATTACCATTGAAATAAATTTTACAGTAATGACCGGAAATAAACCAGTTAATAAAATGCATAAAATACACACTGTAGAACACACTAAGTGCGACTGTAAACCTTAAACTGTTTAACTCCTATTAGATGAATTAATTAGTTTATAAGTTAAAATGTGATATTTGTTTTAAGAATATTTATTTATTATATATTTTTATTATTTCAATTAATTGTATTTAAAATTTGTGCAATAAAAGGACTAAATAATTTAATTTCTTTATTTGTTGAAATTCACTTCCTGTGTCCTGACGACTTAGTCATGATCGAATTCTTAAGAAACAATTGACTTAATATATTCAGATGATGTTTCATTTCGATGAAAGGAAAACTTTCACGCGAACCTTTCAATAATTAGAATTTTTATTAAAAAACCAAAAATTTTCTTTAAAAAAAATTTAATTGTTTATATCGAGGTATTTATTAATAAAGTAGGAGGTTTATATGTCATAAAGAAAAGATGGGTGGTGCCGGGATTCCCCACCGGGAATCCACGAAGATGTAATTACTTTGTTGGTTTCTCCGACGGAGTCATTTGGTCTATCAAAAAGCAATCTTGTTGAAACATGAACGGGTTATGGTAAAAGAGGGGAAATGAGAGATAAAAATTAATGAATAATTAAAAAAATGTTGGGTCTCTTCATGTTATGTTGTAAAAATGTTCTAAAATTTTTATTAGACAAGAACAAGCAAACATCAACATTAGATATAATCTTATTGATAAACAGATAGGTCCATTTATCTTACCAACAGAAATGGCAATTTAATGATTAAGACAATTAAAAATTGACATTAATATTTTATTCTTTTTTTACATTCTTTGTATATGTCTATACTTGTATATATTTGTATATATTTTGAACAACCTGATAATAATGAATTACTTCAAAAACTATTCAGGCAAGTTTTAATTAATTTTTCATCATTTCGAACAACTTGGAACAGCTTTGAATTAGTTCAGAATCATTTAGACATGTTTTCAATGAGTACCAAATTAATTTTCAATCATTTTGAACAATTAGGTAATGTTAAAAACTTATTTTGGGCTATTTAATTGCAGTTTTGAATCATTTTGAACAAACTGGAATAGTTTCCAATCATTTAGACAAGTTTCAGAAACACGAGAGAACATCATCATAGAGTCAGAACGAGCTTTGCGAAAGTGAGCGTTACGGCTCGGTTTTTGCTACATTATAAAGTGACTGAATAAAGCACAGGATGTCTCGACGTCTGAATAAGACGATGTTATGAAACAGCTCCCTGTCAGCGAAGTTCTGCAATCAGCGTGTCGGAGTTGATGAGCTAGTAGTCATCTCCCAAGAAGTTAACCGCTAGTCTCTGCATCTCATTGGTGGTCTGATTCTGGGCGAGTTATTTGTGCACAATTTTTGGCAGCCGTTTGTGCCAAAATCTCTTCTCCATCTCACATTGGTCTGTGACGTTGGGGTTTTTAATTCTATCCCATTTGAGTATTCATTTCTGTTACTATTAACAAATTCTTAGTTTTATATGTATCTTCTTGTATTAGTGATAATTGGGTCTTGTATATGCATGAATTTGTTCGAAGAAATAGTATTTCCTAGACAGCCCGTAATTGCAGACGCTTTGTTGATATTGCTTCTCAGATTCTTTGGGGGATCATGAGTGCTTGAGATGTACACGTCCAAGTAGAAAAATTCCAGCTTACATTTAGTTTTTGCAGGATACAAAGCTTGGTAGAACTTGCGTAGTTGTCTTTTAGGTTATCCTCTGAATTGCCAATTATCGCAGCGTCGCGATCGTTAGCGTAGCAATTTAGGCAAATTTTTTTGGGTCAGTTGTGTATTCTAGGTTTAAAGTTATCACTTCCTGTATTATTTTGTCCATTAATAAGTTGAATAAAAATGGGCTGAGACTCTCGTCTTGTCGAATGCCACCTAACGTGCCCTATTCTTTTAAGACGGCTTAATCTGAATGTTTCTAGTTCTAGGTCTAATGTTAGTTCTAGTGACAATGGTAGGTAGCGCTAGTTAGCATAAGATATCACTATAGAAATAACACTAGACCTAGAACTAGAAACATTCGGGTTTAGCCCCACGTCTCTAAAGACGGCTAAACCCGCATGATTCTAGTTCTAGGTCTTGTGTTAGTTCTAATGATAGTGTTAGTTCTAGTCATAGTATTGGTGTAAAACTAGAACTAACACTAGACCTAGAACTAGAAACATTCGGGTTTAGCCACACGCCTCTAAAGACAGCTAAACCCGAACGATTCTAGTTCTAGGTCTAGTCTTAGTTCTAATTTCAATTGTTATTGAGGGCTAGATTGTTGTATATTTTCATTAAACTAAAACTAGAACTAACACTAGACCTAGAATAATTCGGGTTACGTGCGGCTAAACCCGAATGTTTCTAGTTCTAGTGTTAGTTGTAATTTTACACTAACACTATCACTAGAACTAACACAAGACCTAGAACTAGAATCATTCGGGTTTAACCGTCTTTAGAAACGTGCGGCTAAATCCGAATGTTTCTGGTTCCAGGTCTAGTGTTAGTTCTACTTTTCTTTCAATAAAAATATACCACTATCTAACGCTAAACAATATTTAAAACTAGAACTAACACGAGACCTAGAACTACAAACATTCGGGTTTAGCCGCACGTCTCTAAAGACGGCTAAACCCGAATGATTCTAGTTCTAGGTCTTGTGTTAGTTCTAGTGATAGTGCTAGTGTAAAACTAGAACTAACACTAGACCTAGAACTAGAAACATTCGGGTTTAGCCGCACGTCTCTCAAGACGGCTAAACCCGAATGATTCTAGTTCTAGGTCTTGTGTTAGTTCTAGTGATAGTGCTAGTGTAAAACTAGAACTAACACTAGACCTAGAACTAGAAACATTCGGGTTTAGCCGCACGTCTCTCAAGACGGCTAAACCCGAATGATTCTAGTTCTAGGTCTTGTGTTAGTTCTAGTGATAGTGCTAGTGTAAAACTAGAACTAACACTAGACCTAGAACTAGAAACATTCGGGTTTAGCCGCACGTCTCTCAAGACGGCTAAACCCGAATGATTCTAGTTCTAGGTCTTGTGTTAGTTCTAGTGATAGTGCTAGTGTAAAACTAGAACTAACACTAGACCTAGAACTAGAAACATTCGGGTTTAGCCGCACGTCTCTCAAGACGGCTAAACCCGAATGATTCTAGTTCTAGGTCTTGTGTTAGTTCTAGTGATAGTGCTAGTGTAAAACTAGAACTAACACTAGACCTAGAACTAGAAACATTCGGGTTTAGCCGCACGTCTCTCAAGACGGCTAAACCCGAATGATTCTAGTTCTAGGTCTTGTGTTAGTTCTAGTGATAGTGCTAGTGTAAAACTAGAACTAACACTAGACCTAGAACTAGAAACATTCGGGTTTAGCCGCACGTCTCTCAAGACGGCTAAACCCGAATGATTCTAGTTCTAGGTCTTGTGTTAGTTCTAGTGATAGTGCTAGTGTAAAACTAGAACTAACACTAGACCTAGAACTAGAAACATTCGGGTTTAGCCGCACGTCTCTCAAGACGGCTAAACCCGAATGATTCTAGTTCTAGGTCTTGTGTTAGTTCTAGTGATAGTGCTAGTGTAAAACTAGAACTAACACTAGACCTAGAACTAGAAACATTCGGGTTTAGCCGCACGTCTCTCAAGACGGCTAAACCCGAATGATTCTAGTTCTAGGTCTTGTGTTAGTTCTAGTGATAGTGCTAGTGTAAAACTAGAACTAACACTAGACCTAGAACTAGAAACATTCGGGTTTAGCCGCACGTCTCTCAAGACGGCTAAACCCGAATGATTCTAGTTCTAGGTCTTGTGTTAGTTCTAGTGATAGTGCTAGTGTAAAACTAGAACTAACACTAGACCTAGAACTAGAAACATTCGGGTTTAGCCGCACGTCTCTAAAGACGGCTAAACCCGAATGATTCTAGTTCTAGGTCTTGTGTTAGTTCTAATGATAGTGTTAGTGTAAAACTAGAACTATACCCGAATGTTTCCAGTTCTAGGTCTAGTGTTAGTTCTAGTTTTACACTAACATTATCACTAGAACTAACACTAGAACTAGAATCATTCGGGTTTAGCCGTCCTTAGTGACTAGAAGTTCTAGTTCTTGTTCCAGTTTTAGTGCAATAAAAAAAATGCATCATAGTGTTATCTTATGCTATCTAGCGCTACCTACCACTGTCACTAGAACTAACATTACACTTAGAACTAGAAACATTTAGGTTTAGCCGTATTAAAAACTTTATTTAACTTTCAAGATACACTATAAATAACTCATTAACTTTATCCTTCTCAATTTGTGGTATATTCTTTATAAATAAAATCTTATCATTTTTTATTTTTACATCAAAAGGCTAGGATATATATTTTTAAAATTTACCCACATTGCGTAACAACACTGTATGACTAGGCTGGCTAACTCCTTCCTCTCTACAACCACAAACTTTTTTTATCGTAAACGACGTACAGTATTTATACGGGATATTTCTCTTGGTCACTTCATTCTCTTTGAACAATCAGAGGTGAAAACAACTATATAGACACTTCTTCGACTGTCCAAACAACGTTTTTTTAAAATGCATCTTACAATCAGTGTATTGTTCGCCACTCTTTTATGCTGTGTTTTATACGCCAAAGCTGCACCATTAAGCGGAAACGATATACCAAATTCTTCAATGGTAAGTAATAATTTTTAAACTAATTTTCATTTACACTCTTATCTTACTTTCTATTCTTACTTTAATTACTTGTTGTTTAGAAAACGCTATTTTTGAAAACGAGGAGCAGATACGAAAATTTCATGAAATCACCTGAACCATACTACACGCTTGTTTCCGCAAGGGCTTTAAAAGATATTAAAGAAATAAGTGCGCGAAATGTAAGTTTATTGCCGACTTAAAAATGAGACGAAAATAACCTTCAATTTTTTTTAATTTTATTAAAGGTGACGCCACAAGGAGTTGTTGTTAGAAAATGTCCCGAAAAAATTGGTTTTAGAGGAAATGAAAAGCGATGCAAAGCCATCGATTCCGAAATGGAGGAAATGGTACTTGAAGTCTATCTTGCAAAGGGAAGGGTCATGAAACATATAACGGTTGAACACGAAACGAAATGTGAATGTTTATAATTAGTCTTAATAACTAGGAAATCGATTTTGAATTTAGTGTCAACTCTGTGAGTTATGTACTGAACTTATTCTTTAACAATGTGATATATGAGTGTTATTATTATTTATTTGTGAATTTAAATTATTTATTTTATATGTTATTTATTGTATGTACTCTAATAGTCAAAAATTGTATTAATTGTGTATTTAGAAATATATATTTATTAACAATATTTTAGTTTGTTTAATTCATTTAATAATTAGAACATATAGCTGGACATAAAATGAATAAAAAGTCAAGCAGAATTGTTTAACAGGCTAAAAATTCCTTCATTTTAAATATTTTACATTACTCATAAACATGACGTAAAGTTGATATCATCCAAAAGTAATATTTTCATTAATAATAAATTCAAGTTGGTTGATAAAATGCATTCATATTAAAGATTTTAACACAAATTGTTTAAGGTTCTAAGTTGACGTTTCGTTACAAGCTTGATTTAAAAAATTTATTTCTCGGTTATTAATAAGTGTGGAGAAACTAAATTTGGTGAATTTATTAAGAATTAGTTATCGAATCTAAAGCAACAAACCGCTTTTTGATATCTCCATTAGTTCTTGAGTAATAAATTCTTAAAGATAACCGAAAAAAATCTTGTTTAAATTGACATTTTGTTTTAAGCTTGATTTTAAAAATTAATTTCTCACTTATTAATAGAAATGGAAAAACTAAATTTAGGGGATTTATTTAGAATTAGTTGTCAAATCTAAAACAGCAAACCGCTTTTTGATATCTCAATTAGTTCTTGAGTAATAAATTCTTAAAGATAACCTAAAAAAATCTTGTTTAAATTGACGTTTCGTTACAAGCTTGATTTAAAAAATTAATATCTCACTTCTTAATAAGAATGGAAAAACTAAATTTGGGGGATTTATTCAGAATTAGTTGTCGAATCTAAAACAGCAAACCGCTTTTTGATATCTCAATTAGTTCTTGAGTAATAAATTCTTAAAGATAACCTAAAAAAATCTTGTTTAAATTGACATTTCGCTTTAAGCTTGATTTTAAAAATTAATTTCTCATTTATTAATAAGAATGGAAAAACTAAATTTGGGGGATTTATTTAGAATTAGTTGTCAAATTTAAAACAACAAACCGCTTTTTGATATCTCAATTAGTTCTTGAGTAATAAATTCTTAAAGATAACGTAAAAAAATCTTGTTTAAATTGACATTTCGCTTTAAGCTTGATTTTAAAAATTAATTTCTCATTTATTAATAAGAATGGAAAAACTAAATTTGGGGGATTTATTTAGAATTAGTTGTCAAATTTAAAACAACAAACCGCTTTTTAATATCTCAATTAGTTCTTGAGTAATAAATTCTTAAAGATAACGTAAAAAGTCCGGTTGAAATTGACGTTTCGTTACAAGCTTGATTTAAAAAATTAATATCTCACTTATTAATAAGAATGGAAAAATTAAAATTGGTGAATTTATTAAGAATTAGTTATCGAATTTAAAGCAACAAACCGCTTTTTGATATCTCTATTAGTTCTTGAGTAATACATTCGTAAAGATAACCTAAAAAAATCTGGTTTAAATTGACATTTCGCTTTAAGCTTGATTTTAAAAATCAATTTCTCACTTATTAATAAAAATGGAAAAACTAAATTTGGGGGATTAATTTAGAATTAGTTGTCAAATCTAACACAGCAAACCGCTTTTTGATATTTCAATTAGTTCTTGAGTAATAAATTCTTAAAGATAACGTAAAAAGTCCGGTTGAAATTGACGTTTCGTTGCAAGCTTGATTTAAAAAATTAATATCTCACTTACTAATAAGAATGGAAAAATTAAAATTGGTGAATTTATTCAGAATTAGTTGTCGAATCTAAAATAGCAAACCGCTTTTTGATATCTCCATTAGTTCTTGAGTAATAAAGTCTTAAAGATAACCTAAAAAAATCTGGTTTAAATTGACATTTCGCTTTAAGCTTGATTTTAAAAATTAATTTCTCACTTATTAATAAAAATGGAAACACTAAATTTGGGGGATTTCTTTAGAATTAGTTATCGAATCTAAAATAGCAAACCGCTTTTTGATATCTCAATTAGTTCTTGAGCAATAAATTCGTAAATGTAACCTAAAAAAATCTGTTTTAAATTGACATTTCGCTTTAAGCCTGATTTTAAAAATTAATTTCTCACTTATTAATAAGAATGGAAAAACTAAATTTGGGGGATTTATTTAGAATTAGTTGTCAAATCTAAAACAGCAAACCGCTTTTTGATATCTCAATTAGTTCTTGAGTAATAAATTCTTAAAGATAACGTAAAAAATCCGGTTGAAATTGACGTTTCGTTGCAAGCTTGATTTAAAAAATTAATATCTCACTTACTAATAAGAATGGGAAAATTAAAATTGGTGAATTTATTCAGAATTAGTTATCGAATCTAAAATAACAAACCGCTTTTTGATATCTCAATTAGTTCTTGAGTAATAAATTCTTAAAGATAACGTAAAAAGTCCAGTTGAAATTGACGTTTCGTTACAAGCTTGATTTAAAAAATTAATATCTCACTTATTAATGAGAAAGGAAAAATTAAAATTGGTGAATTTATTCAGAATTAGTTATCGAATCTAAAATAGCAAACTGCTTTTTGATATCTCAATTAGTTCTTGAGTAATAAATTCTTAAAGATAACCTAAGAAAATCTGGTTTAAATTGACATTTCGCTTTAAGCTTGATTTTAAAAATTAATTTCTCATTTATTAATAAGAATGGAAAAACTAAATTTGGGGGATTTATTTAGAATTAGTTGCCAAATTTAAAACAACAAACCGCTTTTTAATATCTCAATTAGTTCTTGAGTAATAAATTCTTAAAGATAACGTAAAAAGTCCGGTTGAAATTGACGTTTCGTTACAAGCTTGATTTAAAAAATTAATATTTCACTTATTAATAAGAATGGAAAAATTAAAATTGGTAAATTTATTCAGAATTAGTTGTCGAATCTAAAACAGCAAACCCTTTTTTGATATCTCCATTAGTTCTTGAGTAATAAAGTCTTAAAGATAACCTAAAAAAATTTGGTTTAAATTGACATTTCGTTTTAAGTTTGATTTTAAAAATTAATTTCTCATTTATTAATAAGAATGGAAAAACTAAATTCGGAGGATTTATTTGGAATTAGTTGTCAAATCTAAAACAACAAACCACTTTTTGATATCTCAATTAGTTCTTGAGAAATAAATTCTTAAAGATAACGTAAAAAGTCCGGTTGAAATTGACGTTTCGTTACAAGCTTGACTTAAAAAATTAATATCTCACTTATTAATAAGAATGGAAAAATTAAAATTGGTGAATTTATACAGAATTAGTTATCGAATCTAAAATAGCAAACCCCTTTTTGATATGTCCATTAGTTCTTGAGTAATAAAGTCTTAAAGATAACCTAAAAAAATCTTGTTTAAATTGACATTTCGCTTTAAGCTTGATTTTAATAAATTAATTTCTCACTTATTAATAAGAACGAAAAAACTAAATTTGGGGGATTCATTTAGAATTAGTTGTCAAATCTAAAACAGCAAACCGCTTTTTGATATCTCAATTAGTTCTTGAGTAATAAATTCTTAAAGATAACGTAAAAAGTCCAGTTGAAATTGACGTTTCGTTACAAGCTTGATTTAAAAAATTAATATCTCACTTCTTAATAGGAATGGAAAAATTAAAATTGGTGAATTTAAAACAGCAAACCGCTTTTTGATATCTCAATTAGTTCTTGAGTAATAAATTCTTAAAGATAACGTAAAAATTTTGGTTGAAATTGACGTTCCGTTACAAGCTTAATTTAAAAAATTAATATCTCACTTACTAATAAGAATGGAAAAATTAAAATTGGTGAATTTATTCAGAATTAGTTGTCGAATCTAAAACAGCAAACCGCTTTTTGATATCTCAATCAGTTCTTGAGTAATAAATTCTTAAAGATAACGTAAAAAATCCGGTTGAAATTGACGTTTGGTTACAAGCTTGATTTAAAAAATTAATATCTCACTTATTAATAAGAATGGAAAAATTAAAATTGGTGAATTTATTCAGAATTAGTTATCGAATCTAAAATAGCAAACCGCTTTTTGATATCTCAATTAGTTCTTGAGTAATAAATTCTTAAAGATAACCTAAAAAAATCTTGTTTAAATTGACGTTTCGTTACAAGCTTGATTTAAAAAATTAATATCTCACTTCTTAATAAGAATGGAAAAACTAAATTTGGGGGATTTATTCAGAATTAGTTGTCGAATCTAAAACAGCAAACCCCTTTTTGATATCTCAATTAGTTCTTGAGTAATAAATTCGTAAAGGTAACTTAAGAAAATTTCGCTTTAAGTTTGATTTTAAAAATTAATTTCTCACTTATTAATAAAAATGGAAAAATTAAATTTGGGGGATTTATTTAGAATTAGTTGTCAAATCTAAAACAGCAAACCGCTTTTTGATATCTGTATTAGTTCTTGAGTAATAAATTCTTAAAGATAACGTAAAAATTCCGGTTGAAATTGACGTTTCGTTACAAGCTTGATTTAAAAAATTAATATTTCACTTCTTAATAAGAATGGAAAAATTAAAATTGGTGAATTTATTCAGAATTAGTTGTCGAATCTAAAATAGCAAACACCTTTTTGATATCTCAATTAGTTCTTGAGCAATAAATTCGTAAAGGTAACCTAAAAAAATCTGTTTTAAATTGACATTTCGCTTTAAGCTTGATTTTAAAAATTAATTTCTCACTTATTAATAAGAATGGAAAAACTAAATTTGGGAGATTTATTTAGAATTAGTTGTCAAATTTAAAACAGCAAACCGCTTTTTGATATTTCAATTAGTTCTTGAGTAATAAATTCTTAAAGATAACGTAAAAATTCCGGTTGAAATTGACGTTTCGTTACAAGCTTGATTTAAAAAATTAATATCTCACTTATTAATAGGAATCAAAAAATTAAATTTGGTGGATTTAATTTGAACTAGTTATAGAAACTAAAGCAAGAAACCGCTTTTTGATATCTCACTTTGTTCCTGAGAAATAAATTCCTAAAGACAACATAACAGGATATCCGATTTTAGATAACGGTTTGTAGTAAGGTTGATTTCAAAAATG